ACTGTGTTAGGGCTCTTCCGCTGCCATCTCCGCAGCTTCGCAGCCGTCCTCACCACGCCTAATCCAAAATGCCGACCTTTCTAGGCCTCGCCGTCAGCATCCATGCCGACAGCAACCCGCTCCCAGAATACTCGATACAGAAGCAATCTAAACATCACCGTATCACCTCGTACATCCCTGTCCCACCCGCAAAGATACCGCCGGGCGCTACCAAGCCTGAGCAGTCTTCTTTCGCGATATCGATCACTCTGCTCACCCCAGGTCTCCACGTGCCCTACTCGACGCCCAAGCCAACTGACGATGACCCCAACCCGAAAGCGAAGATTGTCGGGGGCCTCCCAGGTCAAACCGGAGAGCGGGGCAAGTACGGTCCCACGATAGCCCCGTACAAGCCCTTGACCACATCGCCGAACGAGACAATCGCTGCATACATATACTTTGACGGCCGGGCAAAGGAGGAAGTAGCGACACTGCTGCGACGCGGCGAAGAGACGTGGGTCAACTCACGGTGGGTCAGCGTGCCAGAGTCAGAAGGCGGGGGTCTCGCAGAGCGCGAGTTCCTCTTCCGCGAGGTCGGTCTCGAGAGATGGCTCAACGGTCTGGATCTCGAGGGCAAGGACAAGGACGTGGCCGCCAAGATTGAGCGGAGAAAGCAGCGCCTGGAAAAGAAGCGGGCAAAGCGGAGAGAGGCCATGGACAGCAGCGACGAGGACAAGAAGACCTCCGGCAACGGTGTACTGCGCTACAGCGAAAGCAAGGACGCGCCTGTCGAGACGCTTTCCGGCAACGACGAGTTCTTCACCACCGACTCCGATTCGGACGACGAGCCCCCCATGCCCGAGGCAGCCGGACAAATCAAGGTCGCCCTGTTCCGCGTCCTGGCGTCTGGAGAGATCAAGCGCGGCGAGTACTCACCCCAGTTCGACGCACACGATGACGACGAACAAAACGGCGGAGGAGAGGGCGAAGACGTCGACCACACAACGAGTTTCGCAAAGCCTAAGACGCTAGACCCCAAGTCTATCAGCACTCAGACTGTGACTGGAATAGATCCCCCGGACAAGCCCTACGCCGTCTTTACCTTTTTGTACCGCGGAGAGCGTAAGTTTACAGCAAGGGATACAAGATTTTCGCTAACCAATGGCAGGTCAACTGCGGAAGATGGGTATTCTGAACACCAAGGAGACGCCCAAGATCACCTCGCCGCAGACGAAGCGGAAATCCGGCGCACTCGACTTTGGCAGTCTGAAGCCTCTGAACGCGGCCGCTGGAACAAAGAACTTTGGGGGTTACCGAGAGACATCGCCCAAGTCCAAGAAGAAGACGGAAGACGCCATGGACAGCGACGCCGACGACGAGGACGATGTCAAGGTGGAGGATGCGGATGATGACAAGGAGGTTCTCGACAAGGGCTTGCTGTCGCCTGAGGATGCTCACAGGCAAGGCGAACTTGCAGAGGGCGTGCGCAAGATCAAGGTATGTGTATTGTTATCGCTCGAAATTCGTCTACTGACACATCACAGCTGAAGCGTCAACATTCCGCAGAACCTCTCGGCCGCCCCGCAGGACCTTCCCACTCCGACTCGACAGGATCTCCTCTTTCCGGTACACCAGCACCAGAAAACACGTCCACAGGAGAGGCATCATCCTCGGCCGCCGCGAACACCTCCGGAGAGCCCAGCACAAACTCGATCGCTTCACCCTACAAGAAGCAGCGCGCTTCATTACCCGGTTTCGACGACAACGTGCGCAAGAGCCTAGGCCAAGCCCTCATGGACGCCCACAACCAAGGCCGAGCCAACTCTGACGGGAACATCCCCACCATCGAAACCAAGATGGAAGAGGACGAGGAGTTGTGACACAAGAACATCCGTTTCCAACGCGCATTCGAATGAGGTAGTTTCTCATCGTGTAGCAAATCACACATTTTGTTTGCATTATAACGGTCAACGACGAGTTCGAATTCCATTACCACGATGTCACCCAAAACCTTAATACCACGCGGAGAACCACAGTCGGGCATTACCTTTCAGGCGCAAAAATTGGCAAACGGAATCCTGCGAAAACTTAAGGGTTTGGAGGGGGCTTTGGATAACAACTTGGCTCGGTGCCTTTTCTAGGCTCTGGTTGACTTGGTGGATTCTGTACATGATCATGTTTCGTATGTTTCTTTTTGCGGTGGGGCTTCGGCACGAATGGCAAGATGGGTCGGTGGTATGGATGTGGATGGGGTATGACGGTTTGGTGGACAAGATGCGGACTTTGGTGTCTTTCGTCTCTGACAGGTTGGAGGTTGGAGGTTGGATTGTCGACTGACATGGAATGAACTGCAATGAGACGTATGATACAATAGATGGTATTTGCTGATGTGATGGGTGTGCGGATGCAGAGCGAGGAAAAGTGATGTTTGGGTCTTGCAAATGATTGATGGATTTGTAACCGGCTGTTCAATTTCTTAATTTACCAAGCATCGCCATCTGGCTGCGTTGTCGACGCTTGTTCTTCTCTAACGACACATCCTCAGGGCCCTTTATATACTCGTATCGCACGGGCGATATTTCACGCCCTTCGGGTCTTCGTGGCCACGCGCACAGATCGAGCAAGGAACCAACATGTGGCACCATTCTGTTCTGACTGATTACCGCTCCTGCCTCCCCTGTCTCTACTCCCTTTTCTTCCATCTTCAAACCGTAGCCTTGGCCACCCAGGGCATCTGGATCTCTCTGTAGCAATACGCTCGACCAGCCTGCGTCTTGAGCGCCGAAAACGTCTTTCTGGAGGTCGTCGCCTACGTAGATTTTCTCAAACTCCTCTGCTCTGATATCTTGGCCACTGTCCATCGAAACGGCCTTTAACTTATGCTCGAGCATCTCCTCCGCCGCAGCAAAGATCCTTTGATCCGGTTTTTCGACTCCGACGTCGTAAGACAGGACCATGAAATCGATGTCATACTCTCTATCCTTGGGGCCGGAGGCTCTTATAACTGGGTAATGCCAGGGACCCATATTGACACCGAGGGACGACAATATCCTCGGGACGCGGTCATCTGAATTCGTTATGACGCCTACTATAGTTTTGTCCCAGGGCCAGAGTCCATGAGAAGCGCCCTGACGTCTCCGATGTGTTTTCATATGCTGTATCATGCGGAAGAAGGGGAGGACGTCGGGGTACAGTGTGTAGCCCTTACGTGACGAGTAGGTGTGAAGCAGCTCTGGAACGAGGTGCTTTGGGAAAGTTTGGTTTGGCAAGAGGAACGGTGTGAATGTTTCCTTGATCACTTTGGCCCACCATTTTTCTGCACCCATGCCTGTTGCTCGGCCATAGTTTGGGTGCTCTGATGATAGGCGCGCGAAAGCGGATTTGAAGGATGAGGATACTTGGGTGGCGGGTTCGGGCGTGTTTATGGCGATGCCGTGCTTGAGGGCGGCTTCGGCGTAAGTTATTGGGATGGGTTTCGTGGGTGTGAAGAGGGTGCCGAAGGCGTCGAGGCAGAGGAAGAGGTTTTTCTTCTGGGGTATGGGTGACATCGTGAGAGGGTATCCGGCGTATCGACCGGCATTACCCTACAAATCTGATAGCATCGACCCAATGTTCTTCTAATTCGCGCGGGAATATCGATGAATATGACATCGACGTGTAAGGCCACCCAAACTCGGCCATGTGGTTGCGGAAGGAGATGGTCCAAAGAGGCTAGTCCAGGGTCCGCCGACAGCCCCGAGCTACTTGCGGACACGATCACCTCCGCGAATCCTCAACTCCCCCAACGTCAACCCTCACCTGCAGTCGCTCATTCACCCAATTCCGCAGACACACGACTCACACACGCAATTGAAAAGATGGCGAACACCAACAAGTACTCGGTGCTCCTCCCCACCTACAACGAGCGCCGCAACCTGCCCATAATAACATGGCTGCTGGCCAAGACATTCGAGGAGAAGTACGTCGCAACACCCACCCCCTCATAACGCAATGCCACAACTGACCCTTGTTTAACAGCAAACTCGACTGGGAACTCATCATCATCGACGACGGCTCCCCCGACGGGACCCAAGAAATCGCCGCCCAGCTCCAAAAAGCCTACACCCCATCACGCATCCAAATCCGCGCGCGCGCCGGTAAACTCGGCCTCGGAACCGCCTACGTCCACGGCCTGCAATTCGCCACGGGCAACTTCGTCATCATCATGGACGCGGATTTCAGCCACCACCCCAAGTTCATCGCGCCCATGATCGCTTTGCAAAAGACCAAGAACTACGATATCGTGACCGGAACGCGGTATGCGGGCGACGGCGGCGTGTTCGGCTGGGATCTCAAGCGCAAGTTTGTGTCGAGGGGGGCGAATCTTTTTGCGGATACGGTGCTCAGGCCGGGCGTGAGTGATCTTACGGGCAGCTTTAGGTTGTATAAGAAGGAGGTGTTGCAGAAGGTTATTAGGCAGACGGAGAGTAAGGGGTATACGTTTCAGATGGAGATGATGGTTAGGGCCAAGGCGATGGGGTGTACGGTTGCGGAGGTGCCGATTTCGTTTGTGGATCGGTTGTATGGTGAGAGTAAGCTTGGTGGGGATGAGATTGTGGAGTATGCGAAGGGTGTGTTGGCGCTGTGGATGAAGGTTTAGATGGTCTGGGTGGGAGAGGGGTGGGGTGTTGGTGGCCGGAATGGATGGCTGGCTCTGATGATATCTCGGGCAGGTAAGGAGATGGTATATTTGATCTTTCTCCGCCTTGTCTGTTTAGTATGTTTAACTCTTAATCTTCTCACCAGAGTCTTCGCCTGTGCACTTGTTGCCGTTGCCTAGGTAGTCCCGACTGCCACTACCTATTCGTACGCCAAGCGGCGCTAGCGTCCACTGCTCCTGCCAGCCCTGGAGAGCTCACTTCGACCTTAAGAGTCCCTCAATCGCTGAATCGCTACATCGCGGTTCTAATCTGTCCCCGGAATTGCGCACCCACACAGCGGCGGAACGGTCTCACACTTAAGCTATGGACTCCACTGCCACGATGTCTACGCAGGATATCACCAAGCCCTTCCGCTTCATGGATCTCCCCACGGAGTTACGCCTCATGATCTACAAGCGCCTGCCCCGTCAAATCAAGCACACCGAGTTTCGCTACGTGGGTAGCTTGTTCGAGAACACAGTCGACTCAACAGTGATCTTGGTCACACGTCACCTCCCTGTGGCTATAATGAGGACAAGCCGCCAGGTGCATGACGAGGCGTACACAATTGTCACATCTCTCATTCAGAAGTTCGTGACAGAGTCGCAGCCCCGGGTCATAGGACATGACACGCATCTGTACGCGCTCCTTGTACTCAAATGGCTCATTCCAAACGAGCGGGAAGCATATCTGGTGAGTCAAGCTGTGCATGACCCCTACTTCAACGTAGGAAATACTCGAACTCTCTGAAACCTACGTTGACGTCAGGTCAACCACTTTGCGCGTTCTCGTCTTGATGTAGTCTGCAGACCTGTTCAATCCTTTTCTTGTGTGTAGTACAACATTCATCCAAGTCTAAATCTGACGTAATTATAGGCAGGTCAAGCTTACCGTGTAAGCGACGTCGTTCAGCGACTTGATCTTCAACCGTGGAGCAGCGAGCGATCCCGCGCCATCGCAATGTTCATGGGCCAGGCTACACTAGCGACAAAAGCGGGCACAAGGGGTTGGAACGGAATTATTGCCACTGTTCGCTTCGCAGACCTCAACGATCCCGCGCTCGGTTCCAGGCTTTACCCTCATTCTAGGTCGAACCAAGGCGTGCCTATTTTCACTTCTTCAGAAGCTTCTTTGCGATCTCCTCCTCCCGGTTCATTTGAAGGCAAGACGATGCCCCATATAGAGAGGGACTTCATGCTCGTGCATGCTCTCAACGGCGAGATCAAGGTTACGCCGGAGAACGTTCCCCAGAGGCCTGACTGCCCCAAGTTCTTCAAAACTGGAGAATGGAAGCTAGAGAATTGTATGAGTCAGGAAGTTTGGGCTGGAGAGTGGCTGCCTTCTTCGTGAGGAGTTTCCACATCTCGCTCAAGAGAAGGAGGAATCAAAAGCTTGCCTACAGAGGATCATGGAAGTAGAAGACCCGGAAATCTACATTGCGTTGAAAGCTCGCCATTTCTTGCGTGCAAAGCTAATGTAGACTGCAGGGTGTTTAGCTCTTTCCTTTGATAAGGTGCTCACATGCTAGTCGAAGTTTCGTTGAAAAGGACCGATCAGTACTGTTATCCGAATTCCGCTCTCACGTATCTCGCAACCATTACATGAATGTGGCGATCATCACGTGATCATCTCGCCTTCCCGTCTTCTCTACGGGCATTAGTATCCACCTTCGCAGCTTGAACTGACTAGTAGGATCTCGCTATACAACTGCTTCCGGCGATCCGACGTAAATGGCCGGTCTGTTGGTCCAGAATTCGCCAGCCATCTTACAAATTATCCGGCATCGTCCTTTCCGGCTGACCCGTGGTCTTGTTGACGGCACGGTAATGATCCGTGAACCACCCGATAGGGTTTCTGTTATCGCCATACCTATCCAGGCCTTATCACTCTTCCATTGACACCGGCATATATGATCTTGATGCTAATTCGCAATTGTTTTCATCCTTCCAGGTCATTGAAGTTTGCAGCCGCTGTCGTACTGAAAACTGTTATTCCTTTGATCTCTTCCAAAATCAGTCATTTCGTCAGATCACTTGTTTCTAAGAGCAACTCATACATCGTCTCAGCCACCGACATGTCGATCGACCAACACAATCCTTTCCCGTTCATGAATCTGCCCGTCGAACTGCGCTTAATGATCTACGAGCGGCTGCCACGCCAGATCAAACACACCGTAGTCTCCATAGACGGAGAAGTGGCTATCCTCGTCACAAGACATCTGCCGACTGCCATACTACGTACGAGTAAGCAAATCTACCTCGAAGCTCACGCCATCGTAAACAAGCTAGTCCGACATTTCGTCGAAGAGTCACCAACAAAGCTCATCGAGCTCGGCAAAGCTGGAACAAAGATGAGACAGAGGAAGATACTCGACTATCTCATGTCACAAATCCCTCGCGAACGCATGGCCGTCGAAGACGATGAGAAGTCCGACATCCAAGCCATTTCCCAGAGACTACCCAAGTCCAGTGGACTCCGATCTGCCGATCCCGCCAAGGCATCCAACATCGCTCGCTTCTTGCATCAAGCTGCTAGAGCTAGATACCGACCCGGTGACGACCGTTTCCACGACGCAGCCGGCGGGCTGTGGAACAACACTGTCGTAACCGTATTCGTCACCCGCTCACTTTACAAGAACGAAGAAGAGTTCCAATGCTTTGCCGAGACCAACCACAGACACATTCGACATATGTACCATCATGGGGAGATGCCGCACTTTCCGCACGATATATGGATCCGAGATGGTGGTATTATACAGGTCGAAGGAGATGTTTCTCTGGACAGGGCGATTGACAGGGTTCCGATGTTATGTCAGGATGGCTATGACGATTGGGGTGATAATACGGGTGTGGGGGATTCGTGGGGGCCGGCTATGAAGAGGGAGGACTGGGATGGGGAGTGGCTTCCTTCATAGGCACGTCGTGGAGAGGGATGGATGTTTGTACTGCAGTTTGTATGCAGTTTGTGATGATTACGTTCCTCCATATCATAAGTCAAGCATCCTTAATAACCCAACATGAACATCCTATTCCGACCGAATTGCATTCCTGAAGACCATGTTCCGCCTTGCTTCCAGTTTCACTTCTTCAAACCGAACGCCCCAAATTCACAACCCATCTAACCCTCCCTCACACTAACCCCCTTCTTCATAACCAACAGCTTCGTCTTCGTCGGCTCCGCAAACTTCTCCTCCTCCTCCAGCACCGGAATCGCCGCATCGCTATGCATGAACGCAATAAACTGCTGCAAATGCAACTCATCCTCAAACGCCATGGTACCCATGCAATCCCAATCCATCCCGTCATCAACCCCAATCAACACCCGCGGAATCCCGATTGGACATTCCTCGTCGTCAACATGGTAGTGTCGCGTCCACGACAACGGATGCACTTTTCCCGCGATCTTTTTGAGTAAAGGTGCGTATTTTTCCTCGTTGTGCTGGTGGAATTGCGCGCGGGAAATGCCTTCTTTGCGGGTTGCGACTGTGGTGAGGATGTAGGGGTATGCACTCGTTTTCGTCATTGTAGTTCCCGGCATTTTGGTTCTGTGGATTCTCCGGTTGTTCAGGGTATGCGCTGGGGGCTGGGGGCTGGGGGCGGAGCTATGTCGGCGGTGTAGAGATATGCGGCCGATGATTGGCATGGAATAAGTAATCGCAGGACCCGGAGGGATTGTGAAGGATTCGCAACAAAAGCAAAGAGACGGAAACGCTCTGGGGGGAATAAAGGAATTACGCAGATATGAGCAAACGGGAAGAGAACGAAACGCCAAACCGAAATTTCAGGGCCAGGAAAACAGGAGAACGGATGGCTTCCGTATGCAGGCTGGGCCCGTCAGACGGTAGTGTGCCGGTGTCAGCTAATGGGCAGTTTTGTACCCCTGTATTTTATTGGTCCCCACTTCCCGCTCGGTTACCACGAGGGCCGATCGCTGGAGACAAGTGCAGACAGTGCGCTAGCTGGGTCTGGACTACTGACGAAGCTTGCGAAGCGAAGTTGTCGAGCCTTTCCTCAATCTTTGTTCCTGGCTGCCTTTTTTGGTGATGCGGCCGATTCAGTTGCGACATGTCAATGCCGTTGTGGTGTTTGGACTTGCGCCTGTTATCTCGTTTGTACCGGGGAGGACCCACGAGCGTCATCGGATACCCAGGTATGACGTTAGGCCTCCAGACACCGCTAGTTTCATCTGCCGATGGCTGCTTTGGGGATTGGATGTCGTTGTCGGAGCGAGCTGTGTTGATCAGACGGAAGGACGCGGAAGTGGTGAGAGGTACTTCCTTAGGTCCGCGGAGTCTTTCGGTATTTTGTGTTGATCGTCGCTGCCAGGAGTGACAAAGTTGTGCAACAGCTGTCATCTAGTACTAATGCGTCACAGCGCCGTCAGCGAATCCATCTCTGGAAGTCAAACTATGGCATCGCGCGTTGTCCGTCAGCTCTTGGCCCGCTGTAGCGTCCACATAGGTACTCGTTCTGTTTCCTTGCGCTTGTGCATCGGCGCGGACCGTCACTACTTCACCCCGCATGTGCGTGGTCAAGTTCGTGGCCGTCATGACTCCACCGAGGCTTCACATCTATGTCAATGTTTGGGAAGTCTTTGGGAAAGTGTCTCATTCAAGCGCATTAATTCTAACATAACTGGAGCAAAGGTTGAGGCCAATCCGCTACCCCATATTCTGCTTGCGAGTTCTAATCTCGAGAGCCCTCCTCTCGCCCGTGGGAGTATACTCCCCCAATCCCCTACTGAGATCCCACCTTTTATCATCCCAGAGATACCGGAAGACCCCCAGTGTATGTGTCTTGATGACGGTCATAAACTCTTCAATGAGTACAGCTTCACCATCTGCACCCATCCCGCTTGGAGAAGGCCCAAACACAAACGCCGGTACACCGCGATAGCGATAAAACTTACAATCCGTACCACCCAGGCCGACGATCTGTACCGGCTCCCTCCCAGTAACGTCTCGCGCAACATCAGCCATGTACCCAGAAAGCGGGTGATTGTACTCCGACAAGCTCGCTGGGTTGCTGGCTGCTTCTTGCACGGAGTATGAGACGCCAGGGGACGACAGGAGTAAGTCGTCAATCTCAATGAGTACAGCCTCGGCCTCGAGCCCAATCGGCAGGCGGATGTCAGCTTCAAAGACGCACTTTGAAGGGATGACGTTGACTTTGACGCCGCCATTGATGATGCCGATGTTCAAAGTGGGTGAGAACATGTTCGCTGCTGCCCCAGCGCCCATGATCTCATCGGTAACGGCGTGCGCTTGTTTGGAGCGAAGGTAAGCCTTGAGTTGGTGCGGGATCTTTACGGGTATCGACTCGACCACGCGTTTCAGGGTTGTTATCAGGGAGCAAGCGTGTACGATGGCTCCGCAGCCATTGTGTGTGTACGCTCCGTTACCGCCTTGGGTGTTGACTGTGAAGGTCAATCGCAGAGTGCCTGCGATTCAAGGTTAGTATAGGTCTTCAAAGCTGTTCATGGATAGATGTCACTTACCCTTCTCGCCGAACCGGATGGACTGTAGACCACCAGGCTCGCCGTTGACAACACAATCGCCTAGCCAAGGTGAATTTTCACCACAGTGATCAAGTAGATACTTGGTCCCCCATTGCCCTCCCGTCTCTTCGTCCGAGACCACAGTCAAGGCAACACTGCCAATAAGATGCGAGGCCCGTTTCTTCAGCAACGTGAACGCAATGATGGAAGCCGCGGTACCTGCCTTCATGTCGACAGATCCAAGTCCGTGTATCGAAGTGCCATCGTTATGTCCAGAGTATGGCGGATATTGCCAACCCTCAAGGTTATTGACCGGGAAAGTATCCATATGGCCGTTGAAGACGACGAGAGGACCGTCCTGCAAGCGGCCTTCGAAATCAGAAACCACGTTGGGCATATGAGCCATCGGGGCAACGATATCTGCATAGATATTGTTGGCTGAAAGGAATTTCGTGACGACATCTGCAGCCGCTCGGGTGTCGCCTGGTGGGTTGGGGCTTGCTGCTCGGACAAGCCTTTGCAGGAAGTGTATGTACTTGTCCTTGTTTGCTTCGATTTCGCATAGTATGAGGCTCTCGTGGTATTGTCTAGCTGGAGCCATCGTGACTAGAGAAGAAGATGGTTTGCTATTTGAAGGTAGATAAAGATGATGTTGAGCTGGTCAAGAGATGGAGGCTTTATGTTAGGAGGGAGTGCAGGCTTTCCTTCGCGGCACTGGTCGACTACGGAGATGAAGAAATTTCAAGTTCGACTGTTGAACGCGCCCGTGGTAGTATTTCGGCGCATGCCATAGATGAGCACACGAAACATATGCGCGTCGCATCACTCGCTGTCCAGTGTTCGGTACCGTACAACGACACTTCAATCATCTTCAGTACGATTCGCTGATAATTTAGCGTACGCCCACGTATTTAGGCGGGAACAGTCGCGCATGGTAACTGGGCGGGCTGACTACATCAGGAGGTTGGTTGCGCATTCGCGACTTTGGTGTGGTTCGTAGTCCGCTGTTTACTCCGGACTTTCCGAATATCGGATCAACCAACATCACTCACAAATCTTTGCTTTGCAAGTTCAGTAGTCTGGTTTCATTGCGGGTATCCATGGATGCATCTCATGAGTTCGTGATGTCGTCGCTCAAGTTTGTCATCATGCTACTCAGTCATGAAGGCACTTCTCACACTGTCTCTTGATCGCTGCTCTTCTCTTTGTTCCACGACAGTAATCTAGATCGGACAAATTCGCGACCCATAGGCTTAACCTAAAGATGGCTTATGCGACCATCTTGTGACCATGTCCCAACTAGGGACCTGGTGAACCGTCCCCATCACCACCATCCGCGCCGTTTATGTCCTGCTCATCCGATAACGTCATACCCTCAACCGCCTCCTCGAAGCTTTCCAACTCCACAAGCTTGGCTTCGGACGACGTAATCTTCAGCTCCATCTCCTGCTTTAGCACCTCGACCGTCTCACTGAAGCCAGCGAGGGCCTCAAGCAAGGCCCACGCAGTTGCTAGTGTGTCGAGATGGTCCTTCGTGGCTGAAATCGCTTCATCGATGGCGGCGTAGATGAGGTCGCGGGTAGTAAGAGCTGTGGGGTTAATGAGAGGCGCGTGCGCGGCGAGGACAGTGACTATGGATGCGAGGTCGGACACTGTACTTCCTGTGCTTGAAGATGCGGAAGGCGAATCGGCAGCTGGAGAGCTAGATCCCTCCTCGGTGATCTCGGGAAGGACGTGTACGGTATGTGGCTCGGGTGTTCGTGGCGGCGACAGATCTTGCGATAGCGGCTTGGGCTCGTTTGCGGGTGACTTTGCGATGAGAGGTGATCTTTCATTCTCGTCGACTTTGGATGGGGCTGCTTCGCGCTTGAGCTTGGAATTCGGACCGTGTCTGAAGATGTGTCGCAGGAGATTTCCCCGCGTCATCGTGGCGGTTGTGGTTGATTTGACGAAGTCGGCGGGAGTCAGGTCGCCGCGGTTATACCGACGGGAGCGAGAGGTGACTCTCAGCGTAAGGTGTCGGCGTAGAAGCGGGAGATTGGTTGGGTGACGGCGTTGCCGCAGTCGCAGTAAATACTTGCTCACCTACGATATAGTCGCGCTAGCCAAGGCCACATCGACGAACGCACGATTTTATATGTACTCCCAGAACACCACGGTTCTTCTCTTCTTCTCGTAGATCTCCATCAGTTATTCCAAAATCTTCTGATGGCCTTCAACAACACCTACGACAGTGCTCGTGATCCTCGACTCAGTCGTCAGCCTAGCAATGTCGACATGCCTGATGTAGTGTCTGCTGTCCCAACACCAAATCGCCAGGCCGTTTCAAAGCCGCCTACAGAGCTGTGAGTACCCTGAGATGATCTTCCAAAGAGCTCTTGCTAAATTCATCACAGTACGGCGCCGCCTTCGATCGATGGCAGTCTGGCACCCATGAGGCGGGTTTCCGAGCTTCTTGTACGCATCGCGGACCAGGAAGCTGACAACGCAAGGCTCCAACAAGAGAAGACGGCTGCCAAAAAGATGTCCAGCGACTATCATATTCGTCTCACGCAGGCAACCAAGTCCCTGGGCGATCTGACAGTCTCATATTCGAAGCGCCTGGAAGAGAAGGACGCCTTACTCAACGAGAACGTCGCAATCGAACAGCGCGACACGTTGATAAGGAAAGATACCGCTAAGTCCGCCCGCGAGATTAGCGATATGACGAGCAAGATACAAGAGATGGAGGCCCAGATCCAAGCATACGAGGTCGAGAACAAGGATTTACAAGATCGCGTCACTACGTTGGAGACAGAAGCGCATAGCCTACAGTGTCACGTTCAAGACCTAGAGTTTGAAAGAGAGCAGGGTCGGGCTTCGGGGAGTATCGATGGATATGGAGCAAACGGTAGGAGGGACTCCACGCAACGCCCCATGTCGAACGTTGACGCCACTCCTCCGCGCCAAGGTTCAGATCGAGACCGAGAATCGAGGTACAGCGAGGCGATATACACTGAGCATCGGAGAACGTCGGGTGGATTCTACGAGCGCGGTGGCCATCAACGAGGAGCTCGCCGGGAGCGCGATCGTGGCCGAAACGTACGGAACAGGTCATCTACCAACGATCGCTTAGTCCCTGACCTGTACCCTCCTACCGGACCTCGCGCGGACAGGCGCTGATGCAGAGGGCAGGGGGAGATGTGAAGGATCGTGATGATGGTGGCGACAAGCGTCACAACATGGCGCCGTTGATGAGACTGAGAAGATCGAAGGAGGAAAGTCCGTATGGCGGGCCTGCTCTACATGGCGGGGAACGAAGCTGTGGGCATTGTCAGATGTACGCAGCGGATTCTGACTGGGTGGGTCCCGATATTTGGCATTCTTTGCCGTACATACACTACCTGGTGATAGCAGACGCCTTAGCATGATGAGAGCTAATGCCGGTTGCTTGAGTCATGTTCATCATCCCTAGTCTGATCCATCGCTAGTGAAACATGCGTAGACACTCATCAATTTGCATACTGAAGGTAGTATTGTTACCGTCGCTGTACACAGGCCCATAGTATGTGTTAAGAGAACGACGAGGTTGGTCCGAAGTCACCGAGAAGTGCGAACCTTAGGCAAGGAGAGTCTCCGCGGACGACCATATATGTGAAGAGACTAGTGCGGAGCAGGGTACGCGGAGCCTTAATATCATGCCGTGATAAATGTGGAGAGGTGACTTGGAGGGAATCTCGCGTAACAGAAACCGACAAGGGGGCAAGAACATCGGACAGACAAGCCGCCTCACGTGACGTGAACGGGACTCGTGAACGGGCCGCTAGTTCATCTCAGTCAATGACCCCGAATATGAGGTTCGCTAAAGCGGAGAGGATCTGGAGGATTGCGAGGACATGTGTCTGACTGGCTAATCGGGTCTGGACAGGAAGATAGGCGAAGCCACGATGCGACTGCGCCGCATACCGGTACGCGATCCAACCACTCATGTAGAGCCAGGCGTTGCTCGCTGCCCGTTTACCCAATGGTGGTGCTTTGATCAATAATCGCGCAACGGGCGACGTTTCTTACTGCGTTGGTGGCAGCGGAGTAGTCGACAGAACCCATGTTCGTACTGCAACGCGATAAAAGGGCCGTTTTCCGCGTCAGAAGGCGTCCTCGGAGCATCATCCGTCTTTCTCCATTCGTGCGTACCATCTTGAGAACCATGGCAGAACCAATGAACAAACGCGTCGTTGTGGTAAGTGGCCTTATATGCCATGGCTGATATGAGGCTGATGATTCCAATAGGTTGGTGGCTCGATAGCTGGGCTCATGCATGCTGTGGCGCTCAAGTCTCATGGCCACAGCGTTGTGGTTCTTGAGATGCGAACGGAACAGCAGCTACAAGCCCGAGCTGCAGGCTTGAGCCTATGGTCAAACGCACAAAAAGTGTTCACAACATACCTACCTGATGTTGAGCTCGACGATATCGTTTTCCGCAACCCCGCATTTCCAATCCTTGACAAGGATGGTAAGGTCTTGGTTGAAGTGCCGTTCACGGAAGACGTGCGCACCTCGTGCTGGGCTGGTCTTCACGGTCTGCTGTGGATGGCCTGCGAGAAAGACGTCGAGGGACATGGGCCTGTCAGCATGCGCTGTGGATACCAGGTATGCGGGCTGACTGAGCAAGCCGACCATCTCGTGGTGTCATACAAAGGCGAAGATGGCGTAGAGGAACAGATGACGGCTGACATGGTCGTGGCGGCCGACGGCGCACGATCCCGTCTTCGAAGCCTTGTCCTTCCTGATGTGAAGACCGATTACGTTGGCTATGTGGCGTGGAGATCACAATTCCCGGAAAAGGATGCGCCTGAGGAGCTACGTTGTGCCATAGAGGGAAAGATGCCTCTTTGCATGCTGGACGGGAGCTACATAGTGGTGTAAGTTCGATACAACGTTGCCATCCATCGACTGACATGTGGTAGCTATCTGTCGCCTAGCACGATCGGAGACATGCGTCCTGGTAACCGTGTCATCGAATGGTGTTGGTACGATGCTTGCGACGCTTCGACACCAGTATTCGCGGATTACATGACCGACGTTAATGGTGTCCGACACAACGTCACCGTACCCGGAAACCTATTGCGTCCAGATGTTTGGGAGGCTCAGCTTAAGCGAAGGGACAGCGTGTTGTCTCCAATGTGGAGGAAAATCTTCAACGAGTCGAACCCGCCGCTTCTCACAGCCGTTCGTTGTACGTGCCGTCCAAGTAGATACTCGGTTGAAGATTTGTGCTGACTTACGCAACCATCTAGCGTTTGACAATACAAAAGCTTCGTTCTTCGGAGGCAAGTTATTGCTGGCAGGCGAGGCATTCATTCAGCTTCGCCCACACCTTGGCGCAAGCTGCGATATCGCAGGGTTATCGGCGATTACATTGCCGCAAGTGCTAGGTGGTGAGATGAGCCTCGAAGAATGGGAAAAGAAAGTGGGTAAGCACGCCATGGAGAAAGCGGTCGGAAGCAGGGCCACTGGAATTTTTGGTATGACGGGACAATGGCCAGAAGGCTATACAGCAGAGTCTGCGGCAAATTTCTCTGAAGAGGTGATGGTGTGAAGGAGTGAAGCTTGCCGTGTGAAGGGAAGGAGACAAGGGGGTGATGACGTAGGAGATGCTCAGCAGTTGGCCCCAGCGCTAGCGAACGGCCTAATCGAATTTTGTCGGATGCCTCCTGCTGACTTGCGCAACATGTCTTTTCCATCACAATCGCTCATCGCAGCAGAAAACGGGTGCTCATCATCTCAGCGGCAGAGGGCCGTTTAGAGATCAACATGGCCCTGCTATCGTCGGCTTTCATCTTGCCGCGAGCGGACGGTCGGCCGAACGTTGACGCGAACCCCGCGCAACGCCTGCGCCTGGCACCTCTTCAGCGCAGCATGCATCCAAATATCCAACTTTTCGGATTCCGCGGACAAGCTCAACGTGTTCTTGCCCAGTCGGGGACCTAATAGTGTGTTCATAAAAGGTCCGAATGCTTGGCTTGCCCACGCTGGACCGGCTATACTCGAGTTGCCAAGTCTACATCGAGCGAACAGACATGAGGGATATCTTCGCGTACTACCCGATGTACGAAACGATGTCGAGGATGATGTACAAAATGATGAATCATATAAGTGTAGCTGAGTGTCTTCATCTATCACGCTACTACAGCTCAAGATCATGTCCGCAAGTATTTTCGCTCAACTCAAGAAGGCTTGGGACCTGTCTTTCTTGGAGACGCGCTCCTACTCCGAGCTTGGGGCCAGAATCGTTCTATTTGCTCTCGCTCTGGGCTTCCTAAGCGCAGTCTACCTACTCCACTTTCATCCACTAGCATCCTTTCCGGGTCCATACCAGGCGGCTCTATCCAATTGGTGGCAATACAAGCTAAGCAAGACTGGCCAGCAAGAAGAGACACTTGAGCAACTGCACAAAGCATATGGTAGGTCTAACGACGAATCACACGCCCAGGCACTGACAATTCCAACATGCACGCGAACACTCAGGATTGGTCCAAATGAGCTTCACATTACTGATCCCGCGCTCTACCGTACAATCTACTCACAAAACTACGCCTTCCCCAAACAAAAGTACTTTTATGATGCTTTCGCCGCACACCACTCTGTGTTCGTCGAGGGCGACAAAGAGCTGCACCGTGTACGACGTAAGCTTCTCAGCAACTTCTTCTCGAAGACGCACATAAGGTCGATGGAGAAGACTTTGCTTTCCAAAGCCACCCTTTTATGTGATAGGATATCGGAGACTAGAGGAAACGGCGCGATCAACTTTTACTATGCTTTCAGGTAGCCCTCCCCAATCCTACCGGATGCAACATGAACGCTAAAATCATCACAGGTGCCTGACGGTCGATCTCATCACGCAAATGGCTTTCGGAGAGTCTTTCAACTTGCTCACTAAATCCGACGACAATACTTTCGACGCTCCCTTCCACAGGTGCTTTGATCAAGCCGCCGAGTCACTGTGGACCATGCTATATTTCCCTCCTCTCCGGACTATCGCCTTCAAATGCCCACCCAGTATAGCCGCCAAACTCAGCACATCAGCCGCAAAATTCCAGGCTCTCATCACCGCCACCGCGAACACCGTAGCCAATTTCCGACGTCTGAAAACTTCCGGAAAGTCCTTCGACCATGAACTCGTGTTCGATTCTTTGGAACACCTGGACGATGAACTTGTCTTGGCCGAAGCCATCAGTACTTTGGTCGCAGGGTCCGACACCACGGCCTTCACACTCGCGACTGCTGTCCAGCAGATGAGCGAAGATCCTTCAATCTTCGCAAAGCTAAGGGAAGAATTGCGCGACAATGGTATCACGGCGAACCAAGATCTCAGCCTCTTGAAACTAGAGCAGCTTCCATATCTGGTATGCAACCTGATGAGATCGCGAGACGAAGCTAACGTTATCAGACTGCCTGCATCAAAGAATCGTTGCGCTATGCTATGCCCGTGCCAGGGCGACTCCCGCGTGTCGTACCGCTTGGAGCAAGGTCGCTCATCGTCGACGACAAGATCATTCCACCTGGAACCGTAGTCGGCATGTCTGCGTACAGCATGCACTTTGACGAAAGCATATGGGGCGAAGATGCCAGAAGCTTTGTCCCCGCTCGTTGGCTAACTAGAGACGCAAAAGAGTTGGAGAGATATCTCGTATCCTTTTCCAAGGGTGCAAGGCAATGTCTTGGGATCAATCTTGCATATGCGGAGATTACCCTTACGCTCGCCATGCTGGTCAACAGGTTTCGCTTCGAACCCGACGTTACCATGACGGAAGCTGATACCCGACGTCTGGACCACTTTACGTATGAGTTTGAAGGTACTGGCGTTCGTGCTATTGTCCATGAGGATTAGACGTGAGCCTTTACGGCCTGCGCATCAGATAAATGCCTTGGGTAAGGATCGGCAGGCTGGGTACGATTAGCAGGAAGTCGAGACTATGAGCGAGGGAAAGGGGATTGTATCAGTAAATTGTAATACTTAGCGTGTGAACTTTTGGCAATGCTGCGAACATAGGCGATACGATCTTTCCATCATCTCCATCTCTATGCAAATGTATGTGCGGCTAGAAGAGGCGACCGGCTTTCCTGCCGTTTGACGTGCACACATGCCGCTTGGGCTGGGGTGGTTAACACCGCGTACGCTTCGGTCAAATTCAATTTACAATGAAGAGTGCAAGACCTGAGAGCCAGGTGTCTTCGGCAAGACAAGTCAGCAGAGCATAGACTCTATGTACCGATGCAGCGAGTGCACTGGCTAGCAAATCCAAGTAGCAAGACTCGGCACATGCGCTTCACCGTACGTGAAACCGAAGTGTCATTGTAGTTGCAAAGGCCAAGTGTACTGTAGTTCCAAGAGTGAAGACGATACTAATGTATGGGAGAGCCGATTTGACAGTGCTTGCGAAGAGACCTGCATACAAAGGCGCCACCAACTCGCCCGCTTCGAACGTATTGCAATAGGCTTGAGTGTGTGACTCTTTGTCAACTATGAAGCTCTTCTTCGCTCCTTCCACAAGCGTGAATGTGAGACCAGAGCCCGGCCAACGCACCCGGTGTCGTCAGATCTGCACTAGCGCGCTTGGCGCGCACGCAAAGTCAAACCGCCCTTTGAGCCCATGAGGTTTCTGCACTGATCAAAATACCGCCAAATGTAAGACATCTTTCTAAAGGTTCTTGTGCTATACTAACAGCGCCGTAGAAATGGCGAATCTCGGTCGAAATGAACCAAACACCACCAACAACACACCAGCACCCCACCAGATAGGGTTGGACGACTTTCTGTCTGCCCTCATGACCCTTCAAGACCGAGGAACCAAGCGCCTCTCAGGCCACTGCGGGCTACCAGAACGGCATCCTCAACCAGTTCTCCGTCCCAAAGCCGACAATCGATCAGGCCCCAGTACATCCAACGCCAACCAATAGACGTAAGTCAATGCCTGGTCGCAAACAGTCCATTACTGACTTCATGAAGAATTCCCTGGAGACCAAGTTAAGGACGACGGTAATTTCAGAAACGCTGCAAAGTTCGTCTATCGGGTGGGGCTACAGCTAGAGGCCGCGGAACTAGATCCCTACGCCGATGTCCATCCGGTCGACGACGGCATTCGGAGATGGTTACACACGTATCCCCTGGTTTGGGACCTGTATGTGGCAAAGGATCTCGATCGCCGCATATGGCTTGCGGATGCCCGTCTCAAGTACCACAAAGCCCGACAGGCCGCCCCCATCTCTAGGGCTTCAGATGGCCACCAGCTACCTCATCAACGCAAGGCGTTGAGGAAGAAACCGCCCAGCCCCCTCCTGTACAGCACAAGGCAGCTGATACGGATGCTGAGGATGCTGAGAGTGGTGGGGTACAAGCTAATGACGTTTAAGAAGAAGATGTCAAAGTACAACAAGACCAAGACGACGAAGCCTCAGCGCCGGTGGAGGATGAGGAGGTCCCGTGAGGCCCTCACGGACTGAACTGAGGAAGAGTTATAGACCTTCCTCTTTCGTTTTTTTGCTTCATGCTTCGAGTGGATTCGTACACTCGTTGCTTGCTTTTCGACGAGCGATCATTGCGACGCGCGTCCGTATACATGTAACTCAAAGCTCTATCCTGATTCGAAAGACGGGGTAGTTGACCTTTCCTCGGCGCGTCGTGCGAGCATACAGGCCGCGCGATGCTTGCTGGGATGATGGCGCTGCTTTTTCTCATATAGCAAAATCGAGGTCTTCGGACATTGGCGAGTTCTATGCGTGAATGATCTTGAGTCGTCAAAGTTCCATGTGAAGTGCTCGTTCTGATGTTGCCTTCACGTCCGCGGCCCATCTTCTCTATGTTCATAAATGTGGAGGTATGTTTTATCAAATTCATGACGCCGTGAAACAGCGCGCTCGCTAGCCCAGACCTTCCCGCACGGTTCAAAAGTTTCTGACTTGTCCATAACGTAGCTCTTGTGTCCTCTCGTCGCCAGCCTTTCATGCGGCTTGCACAAAACACATGCGCCTTCCTTCCGACCCATTTGTTGTATCCTTGACACAGAATGCTACGACAATGGCTTCTCATACGTTGAATCCGGCGCTACTTATAGAGAAGGCGCCCGCCCCGCGATCCGCGACCGGAGACAAGCCATACGAAGAGTACGACTGTGAGTAACTCCCCACTCTGAAGGGACTCGTAGCCAGGCACCGACTCTGGGATTAGGGTAGCTCTAGACTGAGCAACGCTAATTACGATACCTACAGCGACTGTCAACGACATAGACGCGGCGCCTGTCTTAGCAAGTGTCCTGCCGACTACAGGTACCGCATCGGTCGATCTCCCACTTCGCATCAGTGCAAAGCCGCATACGCCGACCCGACCTCACATCAAGCAAGAGCATGAAGAGGTGTTCCAACCACTACAAGAGACTGCGACAGAGAGGAATGGGGCGGAGAAACAGACGTTGCCGCTTATGACGGTAAAGCAGCTGCGTGCGGTGATTGCGGAAAAGGATACGAAGGTGGCAGAGCTAGAACAAAGGCTAGCAGATCAGGGCAAAGAGCTTGAAGAGTTGAACTCCGTGATCCGTGAATTGGAGGACGCGATCGAGCTCGCAAGGTCAGCTCTGGAAAAGGTACGGAACAAGCACGCGAGGAGTTGATGCATACATCAAGAGGCGCGAGTACGAGACTGAGATACAACGGAAGTTTGAAGCATACGTTGGCAGATACAAGGGTCGGCCTTGATACCCGAAGAGGCATGTAGGAGGAAAAACGGCGTATGGTTCAGCGGAATGTGTCCTCTACACAGATGAATGATGCCAGGCATACACGAAAAAGTCATTGAACAACACAAAACCATTATGAAGTGGAGCTCGATGTAAGCGGCGAAAAGAGCGAAAAGATTACAGCTGCGGTGAGTAATAATTCCTGTCCATCCCGTGTTGACTGTACATACCACCCGCCTGGTGAGTGACACTTTTGGTAAAGCGTGTAGAATTGCTGCGCCCAAATATCGTGATGAAAGGTGATTAAGCGCAAGGTTTTAGGATGGAGAAGAATGATGAAGATGCGTCCTCGAAAGATCGGGATAATGGCATGATCTGCGCGCCCACGTGACTGGTTCCTTGCCGGGCATAGCGTCGGCGCTTCCAAGGCTCTGATCCCGAACCTTCGATGCCATGCAGGTCTGAGACCATCCCTCCAGCAAGCTGCAACAACTGCATTCTGTCACGAGCCATCGCCGTCATCCGGACTGGACACTGCGCATTTTCCCATTTAAGCCTCAAGATCGCTGCAAGTGTAGCAAGATGCCCGAAGCCAGGTGCGCGATCGGACATCTCGCGACAGCCCTTTCATCTACGGGACTTTTATTGCGGCCCCGCATGGCTTCAAAACACCGTGACGGGCGTTTCCCAGCTTTTGTTACCATTCACTCAGAGGAAGAAAAGATGCGCTATTCCACCACCAGGAAAAGATAGAAACATTCGCGAGCGCATATCATTGCACAATGAATCGGCACCCTTGGTAAGTCTCACGTACCGGGGATATTGACAACACTGTGTTTCACAGTTGTTCGTGAACAAATGTAGCTCGTCACAGCGTCCGCTTGGTATACAATCGCTCCAGTATGCCAGTTCTACTCATCACACCCGAGCGCCACCTTATTTCCATCCCGACATGTTCCACAGACTCCTTCAAAAGATGACGTCAAATCCTCAAACTCGTCCGGTGGAAGATCTGAGCCCAGCTCCAGCCGCGCATCCAAACTTATCACCGTTTGAGGAGCTTGCGGTGTCGCTAAAAGTAGACACGGGTAGCTCGAACGATGCGCAGCAAGTTGATTGGTGGCGCGTCAGCCAAAAGTTCGAGAGGCTGGTTGTAAAAGGCGCCCGGCTATCTAAACTGATGATCGCAGAACCATCAGAATCGACTGAAAGTGTATTCACAGCTGTGCAAGATCTCCAGAAATGGGGATACGAAGAGGACGAATTTACGTACCCAGATACCGCAAAGGAATGGTTCTGCGACATTCTGTGGCTCATTGGACTAAATGGGGAGTTTGATGAGAATGAAGGACCCAATTTTTGCGTCGGCCACCAACGCGAGGACCCGAAAGCGGTGGGTGGTCAAGGCTGTGCAGCAACTGAAGCGTTGTTTTGCCAAGTCATCAACCCCTCGGATGGAATTATAGTGGCGTATGACAACTACACAGCCCGAGCCATGATTGAAGAGTGCGCACGATGCTACTCAGTTATCCCGAAATTGAAACACTGGTCGGATGTAGCGTATCTCCAATGGCTGTCGAAAGCCAACGAGAAGTCAAACCTACGTTACGTACTTCGACACAACGTCCTCAACGATGTCACGCGCTTTGGCGTTACCTATCTATCGTTACAGGGCAGACTTGCTGTAAAAGAATGGCCGGGGACAACATACAGCGCAGGCTCAGTGGAATTCAATGCATTATTAGGCTCACCGAATGGTTCCGGGGTCGCCTACCTCCTCATACAGCATAGGAAGGGACTAGGTCACAAGACTGTTGATAAGGTTACTATCTTCAAGGAGAAGTGGGATATCATGTTGCTGTTCCACATCACAGATGTTGGCGGTGACGATGCCGAACGCGTGTGAAGATCGGAATGATATATTCGTGTGGCGCTGGCAGGCATCGTGTACGACTCATGGGTTAGATAGTACGATGCGACCGAAGACAAGGGAAGAAGGAAGAGAATGCACGAGGTGTGGTACTGCTACTGGTGTACTTTATATGCTGTGATGATCTTGACCATTCTAGTCGTACACCCTCACCTCTTTCCCTCATCAACTAATGCGTCTACAATCAAGCTATGCGAGCACAGCAGATCGACTTGACACTGAAGTAGAGCGCTAGGCCGATTGGTATCAGGCAACGGATTCGTCTACAGGTGAAAAAGCGCAAGACCGATGCGTATCAGGCAATGGCTCATGGTTGGTGCATCGCACGATCACGGCAACTATCAGATCTCAAAAGCGATCAAAACAGCACCAGATCCCACGATGTCGACTTCCACACACCCAAGGACCATAGCTAAGTGCAAAGATCCAACGGGCGTGGAATGAGCTACATCCGTTGCGGAAGTGAGGCTTCAGAGCAGCGAGTGTGCAAGAAGCGGATAGTATGGCAGGTGCTAGAGACCACTGCCAGAGGCGGTCAGGATGGAAAAGGTCTCGCATGGTCAGAAAGGCTTTGAGTTCCGGCGCTTCGGCGCGAAAAGGTTTCATGTCCCATGTCGGCAAGTGCGGCGTTCAGCAAGCGAAAAGTGCTTGGGTGCGCTGCTTGCCAGCCAGGCCGATGATCGTATGTAATGAAAGAAAGAGCTTTGCGCTGCATTCTGATTGAGTTTGTTATGGCCTCTCATTCAACGCGCTATCAGTCGCTCAGTCTCTCGAAGAGAGCGTGAGAGTCCCGGACGGGGAACAGATACGGATATGTGTATCTAAGTATAGCTGGCGCCTCAAGGTACTGCAGACGGTCGATTATCGCGTTCATGCGGTTCCAAGCGTCAGAGTCATCAGACATCGACGCAGATGACTGCCAATTCGCGATCATAATACGAGCGCGTCGGAGGGTGAGTCGACCGCTGGTGATAAGGAAGCTCAGCTCGTCCCAGAGAATCTCGTGTCTCCAGCGACAGCCTGAACCGAGCGGACAAGTATAGGGTAACCGGAAGGTGATGTCGCACAAGCTCAGATCGCAGGTGTGATCGCAAAGGTAGAGCCAAGGCGAGAGTCGGCCGTGCCGTGGGAAGCCTCCGGGTGTGAGACCGTACTCATGCCACGGTCTCTTCGCAGGGAGATTTGTAGTCCATGGTGGTGACTGGAGCGATACTATGTTGCAGCTGCCTTTTGCTTGTTCTTTCCCTTCGATCCATGACGCCGAATGACGAATGTCAAGCGTCTCGATCTCACTCTCCAGCTTTCCTTGAATTACTTCTGCTGCGGTTTCGGTCGAGAGAACACCCTGGGTCTTTGTGGGTACGAGAGAGGCATCGGGATCTGTAGTCTTAGAGCTTGGCATAACGGCTTCGTAACGATAGCAGTCGCCGTTGCTATCGTACAAGCAGGTATCGTAGTCTTCAAGATAGATACTATCGATGTCTTCTGGTCGGTATCGGCCATCGTCGGAATCGTCGTCATTCTCTATTGAATTCCCTGCATCCGGTCAGATTTTAGCCTATCTCTTGAAGCTGGTGGTGCAAGTTTCTGACCTCGCTGTCTGACGTGATTGGGGTGTCGTTCTGGGTTGTTGTGGTTGATTTTGATATCGCAATCTGCGTCCTCGATGCTGTTTGAGCGGTCGCGGTTCTTCTTGTTCATATTGAATTCGTGTCTTCTTTTATGGGTCATTGTGTATTTTGTATTCTTGTGTGTGAGTAAAGAAAAAAAGGCTGAGCTCGACGGGCGTTTACAGACTGTGCGAGAACCGTGCGCTTAGCGTGGCGCGTCACCATGCCCGTTTGGTCCATCCCATGATGGTGAGCCCAATACCCAGAAGCTAGCTAAGTCGAGTCATCATCAGTTCATACCGCATCGCGAAAAGTGCGTATCGTGATAGCGCTGTGTTCTCGATAGATATACGTAGCATCAAGTGCTAGGGCAGCCACTCATCAAACTATGATGGCCTGTCAACGCGGCGATTGAGTTCACACTCGAGATAACCTCATACTTATCCATATATATATAAACATATACCGTTGCTTGCAACACCGACTAGATGAGCTCAAATACGATGTATTGAATGAGAAAAGAGCTCTGAACAATAGTTTCTGAAGTCTTAGTAGTGCTTTGAGGATGAACACAGGATAAAATCGTGCAGTAAGAGCCAGTGAGACCTTGATTGAACTGCGGGGAACTGCAGCGGAGTGAACATATGCTCCGGCGAATGCACGCCCACCTAGCGGCAATGCTACCACGTAACGAAGTCAAACCGACATCAAACAGAACAGGAGCCATCTTTCCAAGCCTCTTGCTGTCACAAAAAGTGTGATTCAACTTCAATCACCCGTTCGCATGGCAGTCGATGGCAAAAGCGCGGAGATGTCGCACGCCGTCAGGATATCAAACAAACACTATGCGTTATTGCATAGCCAGGAGAATGGAAGATCAAGCAACACCATACCTTGAGGTATAGCCAGGGTCAAAGAACAGTAAAAGCACGAGCAATACCATACCCAAGTTACAGCCGAATGGCAAGTCACGGTAAGTAGCGTTGCTTACCAGAGACCTAAAAAGCTATACGCGATTATGTATAGCCCAAGAACATCATCAGACCGAATCTGACCACAGATGAGAATATGAAATACCGTACTGGAAGCAGTACGGCCATCAGAAAATGCAAGACGCATGGAAAAGCGCATATTGAAGACGCGAGAAAAAAAACATGACGAGACAGGGGTTTAACAGTCTAGCGAAATGGCGAGACGAGGTCAGCATGAAGAGAAAAGGAGGACCTTGTTGCACGAGAGTAATGCTCAGCGGGTATCGTCCCATGACCGTGAGTTTGCACGTTGGCTGGGTAGTACCTTTGGTTCAAGGCGCTCACCAAGACCTAATGTAATCGCTTCCATGCGGGATATGACCACTGGATGTAGATCTGAATGTTCATTTGTGTTCCAATTTGCCATGAATTGGCGAGCAAGCTGCACAGAGATTCGCCCGCTGGTGATGAGGAATTCGAGAGTTGTCCATGGTAAACTGTGGTCCCATCGGCAGGAGGCACCAAGGGGGCAGCTACTCGGGGTGCCGAATGTATACCAACAAAGCCCCAACTGATTGGACTTGCTACAAAGGTACCGCGCGGCCCAAAGCAATCCGGAATTGCGCGATCCGTCTCTGTTTTTGGGGTAAACGTGATGTGGCATCACTGGCCGATGTGACGTTCTCCAAGGAACTGTATCAAAGTACTCATCTCGGGGAGGAGGCAGCGTGCCGAGTTTACCAGTTGAGCTGATTCTCGCTTGGGCGACCTTCTTTGCTCGCGCTTGAGCGGCCATCGATGCCTCCCATTGTAGAACTCCCAGAGGAATTTGATCCTTGTTTAGAAGACTTCCGGAAGAGACTTCTGAAACATATGGACAGCAACTGTCATCCTCGTTCAACGCCAAATATTCTGAATTTGTCTTTGGCGTGGATGTCCTCGATGCGTCGACTGTACTCATAGGCGCATTACCGGCACGAGTCTGTTCGGGTGCGATACGAACTGGCAGTATTGGTGGGCTGCTGCATATCTCTCCCCGTTGGACCTCGGTAGCGATCTGATCGTTCGAGCTCATGTCCAAATTGGAAGCCTGCGATACAATCGATTGGTACTCGGCTGCCGACGATCTTGATATTACCAGAGCATTTGGAGTTCGCGGCTGTGGTGGATGATCCGCGTATCCATTTGAGACTGCCGGTGCGCCAGAGATTTGTTGAGAGAACCGCGGTTGTGAAAACGATGCTGGCGGGCCTTGTTGCGATTGCAAGCCGCGTTCTGTTTGACAAGTTGGCGCAAATGGTGTAAGTGGCGGCTTCGCGATGTCATAGAGTGGCGCAGCCTGAGGTGGCACGTATCCTGGTCCGACATGCGGCACATTGTGATGAAGCTGCGATTGTTGCGGGTAGGCCGGCTGAGGTGGTGGGACCCATTGCTGTTGTGGTTGATAGTGTGATTGCTGGGGTGCATAGTGCTGCTGTTGTGGGCCAGAGTTGTACGGTTGCGGTGGATCGCACTGAGGTGGAGGCGCAGCACGTTGCACTGGTGGGATATAAAGATGGTGTGGTAGCTGCGCGTGTTGTTCAGGTGGTAGATTGCTCTGCGCTGGCGGTAGGAACTGCGGTTGGTGCGAATAATACTGTGTCGATGGCGCATGGAAAATTGTTGGTGGCGTAAAGCTCTCCAGTAGTGGCGCAGGATAGTGCGGCTGCGACACATAGTGTTGTTGAAGTGCTGGAGCATGTTGAGGTGCCGCGAGACACTGTCGCAGTGGTGTGTATTGTGGTTGTTGAGGTAGACGTTGCTGCGGATGCAGCGGATACTGCCGAAGCGGTATATTCTGTCGAGGTTGTGGGACTGTGTAGTTCGCAAGTGGGTGTTGAGGCAGTGGTCCAATGGGATATTGGTACTGGAATTGAGGATCATCATGTCTTTGTAGATACATCTGCTATGTGTCAGTAGAATGCCGCAACAATAGGACTTCTTCACTCACTTGTTGATGACTGGAGAGAAATCCGAGCAGATCTGTCATCGCGGGGCAGAAGAGTAGGAAGGCGCGGACTGTGCGCTTAGCGTCCCGCGGAATCACGTGATCATTGTGTTCATGGCAACGGATGGGAAAACTTGAACAACTCTGTTTGCGCGCCAAGAGCGCTAGTCGATGTTAAATTTTTGGATGAGAACAATGAAATACTGTTCAACGCCACCATCAAGCTCCCGCTCTGCGTCAGACATGATGGCTTTCGCGCGATCTCCTCTCAAGGAGCAAAGCTTGGCATTCAATGACTTCGTGTCCGGGTTGGATGCGCTATACGGTCCTCTCGAAGCTGCACTCGATGCGTCAGATGCCGAGCTTTTGCCTTTCATCAAGGCGGAGACCGAAGATACTGACATCGAAGCCGCACTTGATGTTTCAAATGCCGAGCTTATGCCCTTCATCAAGACAGAGACCGCAGACACTGACATGAAAGCGACCATCGCTCCTCAAGCCGACCAGGCTCACTAATACGAGTACAGTGACGACTACCCCGATTCACGCGAACGAAGCCTTCCAACGCATCATACTCAAGACAAAGCACTCCTTGCGCGCTTCGAACATTTCCTCCCAATAGCCATGTCCAAAGCCGCAGAAGCTACAGGCATCGACTACACCGGATGGGACGAGCAGAAGACCCTTGCGGCGATTGCCAAAGCCGTTGCGGTCTGGCCACGCCATGACTTAAGCTTCGTCGAGACTGATTACGAGCACGCCAAGCGCAGTTGGAAAAACAGGACTGACAAGGGGTACGATAGGAGGGTCCTGGCGGCATTTGACGACGATGACATCGCGGCTTTGGCTATCTACAATCGGATGAAACCGAGATACAGAAGACGTGTACTTACCAGGATTCGCCAAGGGGAGCGCCGCGGGAAGGTGTCGACTGGTGGTGATCATTATGAGCCGGGCATGTGAAGGGGGAAGACGAGAGAGCAAGGTCTTTGTCAAAGCGTTGGTTTGAAACGAGACCTGCTCTTTGCCTGCTGAGTGGAGTTTGAAGGAAGGATGTTATGGGACTGTGGATACATAGCGTCAAGCTGAAGCAAGCATGTAGCTCCTGGGATGACAGGAAGTGGGAGGAACAGGACGGATCTGACATGTGGTATTGGCGGCCATTGAGTTTGACTACTTGGTGTGGAGCATGTATGCTAGCTCCTTTCTTGCTATTCTTGCACACGAAGTCGTTCCGGCAGCGCATCCTTTTTCTCATCGTGATATCGCATCTCATGTCCTCCAACGTGTATCTCTCGCTGAGCCATCTAGTCATACGACATTCCAAACGCAGCTTCAGCGCTACGTCATGCGTGTCATCCAGATAGCCAAACATCGATCCAATGCGCGCTCTCAAGCCTAGGCAAGAGTAAACATCTCACCTGTCCACCCATACTCCCTCTCGAGTCTCCTGCCGTACCGCCTCGCCCATGTCAAAGGTAGTTTGCTGAGCGCGCCGTGTGGAGCATGGAACTGGATCGCCCGCTCTGCACCCAAAGTCGTTGGTGTGAAGCGCCATGACGAACCGTGGAGCTTCTCAGCTTCAAAGCCACGCTGGACCATAGCGTGAACGAAGTCCTTCCATGAGACTTCGCCTGGTACGTCTCTTGCGGAAGGAGAGAAGAACAGGGTCTTGAAGACCAGATGAGAGCGCTTGTCGACAGTCACGCCTATTGGAAGAGTTGTTTGGTCTGTAGGATCCGGAGCATCGTTGCCTTCAGCTCTCGCCAAGTCGACGGTGCCGCGAGTCTTGACCTTTCTTTTGACCGACGTCAGCGCCTCCGCCCCCCGGTAGGACTCGGAGAGAAGCGGTTTGTAAGTGTACTGGTGGAAAGACTCGCTGTGACTCTCGTGGAGTCTTGTGACTTCCTTTCGGGCGGACGGCTCAGTCCACAGTGCAGTGCGCCGTAGAGACCGACCGTGGCTGATATCCCGCTCTAGTAAATCCGGGAAGCTTGATCCCGTCAACTTCCTGCAGAACGAGTCGGCAGTCTTCCAGAAGTCATCAAGATTCTCTTCCGCTAGGCGTAGAGCATATGTCGTGGCGCAGCTACGTCTCTCAGTGATCGGATAGTGGAATTTCCCGTTTGAAGGATCTGCCATACGCTTCAAAGCAACATCCTCAAAACTTCGCATGGTGCATACAGGTCTCCATCTCCCTGTAAAAATGGCAAATTCCAACCCCAATTCTAGCTTACGATATATCATCTCATACTCGAGCTGCATTGACCATGGCTGGTAGAACCGGATCCGTTGAATGCATTCGGATGAGACAGACATTTGGGAGAAATCAGCCCACACAAACGGTGACAGAAGACCTTTCGCGGCAGGATCCTTGATGATAAGTCTCTCAATGTCGTCCAACTCTGCTACGAACCCATGCCTGGGTGGGTCGGGTGGGACGATGATTCGAGATAGTACTTCGAGGAAACGGATGGTGACTGGATCCCCCTTTGCTTGCGACATCTCAAACTCGAATGCATAGTTCCGACTATCCGGGTCTTCTGCTGTCTTGGAAATGTAGGTTCTCATTGTTGGTGTGGCTAGAACGTGTTGTCTGAAACACTCGTGGAGATCGGTTTGGATTGCATTGAGAACCGTCCAAAGTCTCAAAAGGTCTTCGCGATAATCTACTGGCAGTTCTTCGTGCGAGTCGAACTTGAAGCTGTGTCGTAGTGCAGTAGACTCCAGGCGATCCAGAAGGTGTAAACATCTATGCCAGTAGAACAAGGCACAATAGGGATCAGTTATGAGATTGCGAAGAATAAGACCGGGGACGGCATCAGGCTGCTCCTTCAGTGCAGCGTTTCCATTACCATCGATGAAGACACTGTACTCAACAATGTGCCTCTCGTAGTCATGAAAGACTTCACTGAAATAGCCAGGGTCTTCTCGCAAAGCCCAGATATGGTCCTCAAGCTCGCCAACCTTAGAGCTGATCAAGCTGCGTAAGCGGCCGAAGTCCAATTGCCCCGGAATACCATATGGAGTCATCAGTGAAACCTCTGCCCGATTAGTGTAGTTGAGTGTGTCATCTACTACGGGGACTGTCGGCGGTATGTTGGGATGCTGTGCCTGTTGTCCTTTCCCATCAGCTAAGAGATCACCGACTAAGAGATGACAGCATCGCTGCAAGAATGTGTAGATGATCTCCTGTATACAAAGGATCTGAAGCCCATTGCCTGGATGAACTGCTTGGCCTTTGTAGATAGACCTCCAAGCGTCATTGGAGTCTCTCCAGCGCTGAATACGACCGTAGGTGTTTCGTGTGTTACGTCCAGCGAAGACCATCGTGAATCTCTGTAAATATGGGAGGAGGGCCGAATCTGGCCACCACGCGCTTGGACAGTGGTGTAGTTCCGTGTGACTGAAGGTCTCGATTGGGTTGCGACCGCGAGAGTTGAGCAATGTAAGAAAGCTCCCTGGATGGAGAAGGTCTTCTAGATTGAGGAACGGCACCAGGCAGGCTTCGCTGTTTCTTGCTGTACAGACAGAAACGAAAAAAAGCTCATCTTCAAGGTCAGAGATTGTGGTCATTGTGGTCGCTGCAAGCTCCGCCGCAATATCAGGTCGATGCTCGCTTGCCATGCCCGGCTTTGCCGTGAGGAGAAGTTTCTTCTTCTTCGTGGTACTCTTCTTGCACCACCTCTTGCGAATAGTATCTTCGTGTCGCTCAAGAATGTAACGCACATCCTCAAAAGCCCCAAATATCTCGTTGACCTTGTGTTGAGCGAGACGCTCTACTTCGCGAAACGAAGGAAAGTAGTCAATCGCGGGATAGGATTGGAAGAATTTGTACAACTTCGTGCCTCCGCCAGGACTGTCCGCAAATTGGTCGAGAAAGACCTCGTCATTCGATCGCTCCGGTTTGAGGGCCGCCGCTGGCCCGTGAGGTCCGTCTGGCTGGTTGCGCGGCGCCATATCCAACGTCCAAAAGTCGGCTTGACGTGTTGATGAGGATGGCTAAGGCGAAGAGACAGAAAGTGAAGGCAGCGGTTAAAGGGTCCAGGCAGAAACCGCGCAGTCGGTCTAGCCCGATCTCGATAGCGTCAGTGCGTCATTTGCCAGTGACTTAGGATACGTACTCAGAACGGGAACGAAGCCAATACGCAGTGTGGGTGCGGACATTGGCTAGAACAATGCTGAGAAATAGTTGTGCGGTCCAGTCTCTTGCTGACCCTAGCACATGAGCCATGTTTCGAGAGAAGCGTAGGTGTTCATGTGATGTCGAGGCCCCAACTGGAAGTCTGTATGATGGTGATAGGCGAGCCGTCATTGTGCGCGTCCTCGCAGTCGCAATACCGAGATCCATTCGAAAGATCATATGTCGGCATTGCTGTATTCGCCGACAGTGATCACGAAGCTTTTCGATATACATCGAAATAATGACTTACGCAACCCCGTCTTGATGTGGATGTCGGGACACCCGCCGCAATACGATCTCCTTGCTGTGACCTTTGTCCGGCTTTCGTCGCGACCCTATCTTGGTGACGGAGGTGCGGCGGCTTCGTTCGATTGCTCGACCAGTGTGCTGACCCGCATCGTCTCGAAGTTGATCAGATAGTGAAAGAGACAAGTCGAAAGTTTCTGCGCGTGACGCTAATTCGTGATATGAAAGTCTCGCGCCATAGTCGCACGTTGCCCAACACCTCCCACCCATCCTCTACCGGACCGTCCGCATCGAACACCACCCACACTTCGTCTTTCCACGCTCAAGCCGCGACCTCTTTCGTCCAGTATTGACGCGATGTCGGAACAGCGCGACATCACTTCCGTGTATGGCCGCCGCGATAGCGATCCTGACCCGCGACGGAACGCACCCTCGGAGACAGCAAGGCGGACAGATGGTGGAGTTGAGTGTGAGTATAAGTCTACATCGTACTTTCATGTGACCGACCTCGACGTCATGAGCAAGCGCGATACCCTTCAAGCATCCTGCGGTGGCTGCATGACGGGGTGCGACGACCTCGTATGCGCCAGGGTCACACGCCTTCCCTCTCTTGATCAGGTTAGCTGACATTGTATTCGAAGACGACCTTCCAACCGAACGCGAATTACAGCTGTGCAGCGTGCGAGTAGAGACGGAGCCCAATGTCTTCAAGCCCATTGGTCCGGTGAAGGGTCTGAAGGCACCAATAGAAAACTGCCTGCCGCCATCTGGACCGTACTACGACGAGTATACCCTCGGGAGCCATTTCGGCGAAGCCATGTTCGATGTGCACGCCAACGGCGAGATAAGCGTGTGCATTGTTTGTTGGGGGGCCAAACATGAAGATACCCACAAGAAGTGTAGGAAGAAGTGTCAGGTTTGCAAGAAAAATGACCATCCCGGACAGACTTGTGGTCAAATATACGCGACGATGGCTTGGTGGAGGGCTCGGGGCTACAATGTGATCAAGACAATGCGCGTACGTCCCAGCGTAAGGGAGTTGGTATATCTTGTCGCCGCCAGCGTCGTGCACAGCTTCAAGAAGCTTACGGACCCTGTTGTCCTGAAGGACAATCATCCGCTCGTGCGAGAGCTTTACCGAAAAACCTCGATGCCGCAATATTCGCCGGCGAGAATTGTCTGGCCTAAGCCAAAAGGGCTTCAGAAGCGGTCAAGGTCAGGCGTTCCCAAGCGGCATTCCAGTCAAGCCGCAGAAGGTGTTGGGCCTTCGAATTCGGAGTCCACCCACAGCGTAGACCCCACTCGCGATCCCCGCCTTTTGGCTCGACGCGTGGCGGTGGAAGAGGAGGAGGTACTTGGTGGTGAAATCGCTTCCATCGCCGACCAACCAGTCACACATGAGTCTGGCGATGGCACTGCAGAAGCGAGCACCTCTGTTCAGGAGTTCGCGCATGAGTCTGAGCAGATCCGCTTCTTACAAGCCGAGAATAGGCGCCTAGCTGAAGCTCTCGAGCAAGCTCGTATTGAGCTGATTGCGAAAGATGCTCGCATTGCGGAGTTGATTGGTGGCGGCGGTTCCACGGGCGCGAAGCGGCCCAGGACATGAGGAGTGGTCGATTGCGGCGATGAATTGGAGGGATGAGTGGTACTTGAGGCGATGTGCCATCGCTTTCGTGAGTTAGATACCTGCAGCGTTGATTCTCGCTACAATACCTTTAGAGCAGAATCAAACATCTACTGTAGCTCTACCATACATACACGCCACATGCACACTGATTAAGGTATACGAGTATGATACCTCTGCTGGAACTGCTCTACTCTGAAACTATTATCTGCGTGTCGTAGCAATTGATACAGTACAAAAGTAATTACCGCGTATAGCGCGGGGAAGTTGCGAGACTACTTGACGACGAAGAGAGAGGCTCCAAAGTTGTAAGCCTGCACGCGTGAACATGATGTGCAAAAGATCGCGGTGAAGGTGACTGCGCTAAGAAAAGCAAAAAAGAAAGGGCAAAAAGAAGAAATCGTGCGCTGATAGATGCTCGCCCACGTGAGCGACCTCGTTAATGGTCACTCACCCGGCTACGAATCCGTTGGAGCAAGCTGGTAAAGCCCCGAGGGGCCAGTCCCAGAAGGTGTTACATGTCCTGTGTCACACGATGGAAAACTCTAGAAATGTAAGCAATATAATGTGGGGTACAGTGAGTTACAGGGATTGTTGCCCTTGAGAAGTTCAGGCAACGATCGATATCTGCGCGCAACGTGAAGCTGCCTGCGCACAATCCGTGATTGCGACAGTCGGAACGGGCTACCGGCCACCTGCACATTCGTAGTTCATGTGATCATTCTCGTCGATGTAAAGTCTGGTGCTGCGACGGTATGGTGGAATGTCATTGACGTGCGTGGTTGTGATGGTGCGTGGCTGCTGCGATGCATTGCGATGTACGGCTGGACGAGCGTGTGGAAAGAGTGATGAAGACGCGTCGTCGGAAGATCGGGGATGGAAGTTTGCCGCTAGATTAGTCATCCCACCTCCACTTTCGCAATTCGCTGCACCGGCGCGCCTCACGACATCACGTCCCATGTCCATAAATATCATCCAGAAGTCTACATCGCTTTAGAATGTTACAAACTCTCATTTTGATACTCATGTAGTCTCAAATGACTGGGCACATTTGCCTTCCTATACATACACGCACATCCTTCCACGATCATCGCCGACCCAGCCGCACATAGTAGCCTGCGAGCCAGGCTACTTGCTAATGCTCTAGTATGCGCCACCAGTGTCAGCAGCTTGAGCACGCAGCTGCTCGAGCTCTGCCCTGAGCTTCCGAATCTCACGATCCTTCACAACTGCCTGCATTCTCAAGTTCAGATTCTCGACCTCCTGATCCTGAAGCTTCTTTTCGATGTCTTCTGGGTCAGTCGGGGTTTCGCTGCTGTTGCTGGCGGTATCGGGCTGCGGAAGCGCCAGTTGGCCGGGCGCACCATATGACGTGCGACCCTGGAGACGCGGGTCGAGGCTGTTGTCCACGGATCTTATCGGTATGGTGTATGAGCCCATCGGCGGCGGGAGGGGTTGCTGCTGAGGGGCGTTCGCCACGAGCGTTGGCCCACGGCGCGATGGAATGGACGCCGAGTGATGCCTCGGTTCCGCTTCGAATATCTTCCGCATCAGTGCCTTCGACCTTGGCTTGTCCTTGTAGAAGTTTTGAACGATCGGATGCCTTGGGTTCACAAGAACAGTGTTGTTTGGACCGCGTGCAAGATACATGACACCGATATAAGAGAGGACGGCGAGCTCTTGTTTGTCCGGACGGATTTGTCGATCTCGAAGGGTGTTGGGACCGCATGGAATCTCCTGCTGGCGATACCAGTCTCTATTACAGTAGAATAGGGAACAGCTCTAGCGTCTATGTCAGCAGTGCTACTGCGCATTCACAATAGTACTTACCTCGTCAGGGTGGCGGCGGGTTCCGCAGACCTTGCATACCTTCCCGCAAGACGTGGTCGAATAACCTGCGGCGGGGTGGCAGGTCCAACAGATCATACAGGGTTTGTACTTGAAGAACATCGGGCCAAAGACGGGAAGGAGAGCATTCTGGTCGTAGTATGGTCCCGCAGGTGGTAGGTATCGCTCAATTGGGTACGTGAGGCCGTCAGGCAGTGTCATAGACGAGGGTGAAGAAGGCGTGACAGCGATGTTGCCAGGAAAAGACGGGAGCGATTCCAAGAATCTGTCCGCAGCGTCGGAGCTCGGGAGCTCGCTCTTGATGCCGACTGACTGAACATTGGCACCAGTCGGTTTCCAGCGCGCAGTGGCCTCCGAGTCGGGTTCAGGTGGTTCTGCTATGGGTCAGTAGGGTGGAAAACAGCTTTTTTGGGTTCCTACCTTCAACTTCCATCATTCTGAGGCGCTCACCATGTATGGCTTGCTCGGGGGTTGCAGACTGCGTCTGTTGTCGCTGCATGCCGTCGAGCGCAGAAACAGCAGGACTAGGGGTAGAATGAGGCGGCTTCGGGGCGTACAAGGCTTGCATCAGGTAAAGATTGGCCATCGCGAAGTGTTTGGGTGGGTGATGTCTGTGTGCATGGGTAAGTCGAGTGTTTGGCTGTTTGTTGACGGCGACGCGTCTCGGCTTGGCGTGTTGCTCTCACCTAGTTATCCAGATAGGAAGGCACGGCTGTGACCCGGGAGCACGTGGCCGTGACATTACCTAAGCCACTTAAGACAACCACGAAGAAAGCTTGACAGGCCTGCAGCCCACATTAACATAAAAGCCTGCAAGATAGATGACCTAGCGTTAATGTAGGCTCTAGAATTTATTCTTGCATGAGGTGCACTCTTCTACCATGGGCACTAATGTATCTTCTCTAAACATGTCTCGATCACGTTTGAACCTAAAGAGCAGACTCAATCCCAAGCACAATATGTACAGTACCAAATTGTGCGTAGGATTACCTGGTAGTGCGAAAGTATCTTGTGTTTAGCCCGTGAATCCGAAGACACCAAACCTCTGCTGTTTCTCATCATGCTTTTACATGAAGCTCAGTAAACCATCAAGTGTCGTGTCGCTCCACGCCTCACCGGCCTACCAGTATCTAATCCAAACATTCCATCAATGCGGCAACGTATTCATCATCTCCGATCATTGCGTCTACTCCAACGACCATCCAAGCTTGGCCTTAAGCGTCCTGATCATCCTGTCCTTGTCCTTACTCTCAGCGATGTATTGAAGCTCTCGCTGGTCGGGCTCATGCAGCAGCTTCTCGTAGTGCAGTTGTAGGCTAGCCGTAGGGGACAGAGCAGGATAGCGGAGACTCTCCGATGTAGATGAAGAAGGTATGGTGATAGCGTTGGCAGAAGCGATGATCTGGAGCTGCATGTTGTTGTCTGGCGGAGCTCGTGGCTGGAGCCAAAGACCCGGGATTGACATTAGCGGATGGGACGAAGGCTCTTCGGTGACTTGGCGGATGGCTTGTGCGAGCTGAGGATCGATGAAAGGTAGATCGTGGACCTGAGAGTCTGGAACACAGATTATGACACCGTTGGAGGGACCTACTACCGCCTCATTGGGGTTGACTTTGACTGTCATAGCGGCGCTCCTCTTTCCGTTCTCGTTGACCCATGTGATGGGCGTGCGGGTACGGATGCGATGACTGCGTTGTATGGTATGGCCGGCGTAGTATTCCTTGACATCAGCATTGTCCATGTTCGGCAAGACGTCCATAGAGACATGAGACATGGTCTGTATGATCCCGAGGCCATGAAGATCTGCAACCTGGTTCATTCCGGGCCGTAGCGCGATCATATCGTCTGGGTCTGGAGTACATCCGTGGTCTTTGCGCCACCTGTACGAGCAGTACGCCATAGCGCAGAGCTGGGACAAGTTAGTGATGGAATCGCTGACACAGTGGGAAGAACTTACCGCCTTCGCGTGCTGGTCTTTACAGCCGCACATACCACACGCGTTCGTGCACCCGGTGGGATCTCTGACGCATCTGCATCCAGGCTGTAGACAGTGACTACAAAGACCCTTCCTAGGTATGTCTGGGCCGAAGAGTTCAATGATGTCGAATTGATCGTAGTAGGCACCAGCGGGGGGTAGAAACTGGGTGGGCGGACGACCTCCGAGACCGTTGGGCGACATTACCGCGAGAACACTAGGAGATACCATTAGTACACGAAATTCATAACATGAGCACGGCGGGGAGACACAACGTACCAATTGGAGGATGCTGATTGAAGATGGACGACTTGGAGTACAACACGGGCCGGCAAGCTGGTCATTACTACGCTGCGTGACTGCGCTCATGGCCCGTGCGTCAATACACGGTCACGTAGACTTGCTACTCCCACCTAACAGAAGCTCCACTTCATCCACAATAAACCAGCTTGATACCTCTGGATTGATCTTGGCTAACCTGACATACCATCTACACTGACTCTCGCAGACATGTCACGGCAACCCAACATGTTCGACCGGCCAGCAGCACAACCAGGTCCGTACGGTCCAAACAACCCTCCACCGCCTCCGTCCGAGCCCCCACCGCGTGGACCCAGGGAACGCGAGAACGTGGGTCGAAGTTCCGACGATGTGGACAGCGAGAGAATGCAAGGTCGACGCCGTCCGCAGCTAGCTGTGCGAAAACGAGATTACGCACGGGCGGAAGAAGAACTACGAGTGAGACAGCGAGATCGTAACCGTAGTCGTTCGCCTGCCCGGCGTCAAGATCCGCGAGATGAGCAAGATTGGCGTGGTGAGCGGGCACGGTATCGAGAGCGGTCACCGCTGCGTCGGGAGCCAGTCGACGTGGAGCCGCAGCGAGAGGACCGGAAGCCGGAGAAGGCAGAGTACCAGCGGTGCTTTGCTTGTAACAAGAAAGGTTGGTTGTATACATGTAGATTCCCAAATCTTCCTTGCTAAGACTATCAAGGGCATAGGGTTGCTGATTGTCCAGCCGCCTTCACCGATAAGAAGGGCTGCTTTCGATGTGGAGAGCAAGGGCACATCGCTCGTGCTTGCAAGATTCAAGTTGGCCAGATCAAGACTGATGCTGAGGTTGCTGCGGATGAGGCGAAGGCTATGGCTGGCCGATACGGTGACCGCGATGACGGCAGGCATTGGTCGCCCAGGCAAGATGCTGCTTTCCGAATCAGTCGCACGAGAGATACCAGCCGACTGGAAGCTCACATCCAGCAAGCGTACGGCCAAGCTCAAGATGCGCAGCAACATCATCAAGCGCCTTCGCGTCCAGAGTACTTCGTCGAGGACGAAGTGGACTGGGACGACGACGCTCTAGAGACGGCCCACGTTGCTCCCGCGGTGAGAATGAGTACCGGTCGGAAGATGCCACAGCCTGAGTATCCGAGGCATGAGGAGCCGTATCGCCATCAGGAAGTTCCAAAATCCCCTTCTGCAACCACTCAGCATGGGCCAGTTCAGTCAACGCACCGCAGATCCAGCCAAACGCCCAGCACAGCAAAGTCAGCCAAGGAGCCCAAGTTAGGACTACCACACCTCCAAAATCCAGAGAACGGTGAGTTCCCGCCGACAGTGCATGATCTCCGCGGCTACGACTACCGCATCTTCGCCACGTATGCCGCCAAGCCCAAGTCCCAGCGCTTCGTCAACGGTGCCAACGGCAAGATCGCCCCCGGAATGTACGGTTCCGAGCAGCGCCACGACCTGGGGCTTTGCTTCACCACATACCTTACGAAGAAACGCTGTGAGATGGGCGTCAAGTGTCCCTGGCGCCATCACCCGCTTTCGAAGTCTGAGGAGGCCTGGATCATTGAGTACGGCAAGCAGAAGGGCAAGGAGTTCATCGAAAACGTGGATCGGTGGTGGAACTTCCCCGAGGTAAGTCGTTATACATTGTGCTTTTGGTAGGCTTCGCTGACTCCGATAAGACGCCGGTTCCGGGGACCAGTATGGAGGGCCTGGGTGACGGCGAGAACTAGGTAGCTTTGCTCATTTGGAGTTGTCTGACATCGGGAGCTTGGCTTGTATGGGCCCTTGGTTGATATTGGACGACATTGAGATGAGTCAGTTCAGGCGCTTACCCTGGTTGGAGTAGGCTATGTGAGAGCCCCGCCTCGTGTATGATACCAGCCCCGTATTTCATCGATGCCTTGAAGACCAATGAGCATCATATTAGCGAACGTATCAAGGTCTTCAGGCTGCGCACCCCTCAAGACATCCGTAAAGTCCAGCTCCTTGATGACAAAGTGACTCTTGCTATTCCACGCCATGGCAAAGTCAAAAGCGCTCGTTGCCTTCCACAAGTGCGCAGAAAGCGTGACGCGGTTCTTCAAAGAAAGCTCTTTCGCGCAAGACCTCATCTGCCCGCTCAGCAGGGTGTATATGACGGTTACGTGGAAAGCTACCAAGGCCGTACGTCTGGCTGACTCACGGAAGATGTACGACTGCCAGGCTGAGCGAGCGGCTGTACTGGGATAAAGCGGAAGAGTTGCTGGAAGCTCGGGGTCTTCTGCTGCGATGGGTAGGAGGACGACACCCACATCTTCCAGATGCGGTATCAGGGCGTCAGCTCGAGCGTATAGTCGTATGTCACCGCCAAAGATGAGCATGATCTCATACAACATCAGAGCCTGTGTGCGAGCTAGGACCTCGATGGGCGTAGTGGGTATAGAAGTGGTTATGAGCTCTTCTGCGCGACTTGTGATGAATCGTGCGACGTGCTCAGCATTGTTATCGTTCATGGTCACATAAAGGGCACATGCCGCGTGTGCGTCTTGTAATGATCGTGGCATGTGGTCTTCGTAAAGTAAAGGGTGGGCCCATGGTGTGCAACATTGCTCTACCATCATCTTTGGCGCGAGTTTGACGAGCTCGATTGAGTACTCCACTCTGGACTTTGCGAAGGGTGACAGGTGTCTTGCTGAGAAGGGTTGGCTCACTGGGGTATAAGATTTTTGTAAAGTCAACTGATCTTCCTGATGAGCTGGTGTGTTGAACATGTCCGTAAGCGCGTCGAGGGAGTCAGTTGCGGTGCAGAAGTCGAAGTCTAAGATATCGGTGGTGGAGTCGGCTGGCATGCCAGGTAGGTCGAAGTCGAAAGCAAGACCGCCATCATCAATCTCTGGCATCTCCATTGGCGCATTGGATGGACTCAAGCCAGTATGTGTTGCAGATCTGTCGTTCTGCGGAATCGCAGCCTTCGACCTAGGCTGCGGAGGGTAGACACATGGTAAGTGCTGCCTGGCGCATCGTGCGCAGTGAGGCTGTTCGAGACCACATTTCCGCTTTGCCTTTGCGCACTCTGAGCATGACTTCTGCCTACCTTGTGAGTTGGTGGCGCGTGAACGATCTGGTGGCATGATGGACGCGTCTGTTGCTGGCGAGGAAGGAGGTGAGGCTTGCCACGACGCCGCTGATCTTGGCCTGCATCATCGTTAGTCAGCGCTAGTGGGTCGCCCTATCCCGGCTCGGACGACTCCTGAACTCCTCACGACCACCGCCACAAACTGGGCAAGCCGCTCATCACATTCTCATCGTAACTGCGTGCTTCATAGGCCTCCTTTCCTTCGTTTCAAGCTCAAGGAATGGCCGCATCGGCCATTTCTTTCACCAACGGGGCTTCGACCCTGCGAGAGACCGGCTCGCGATCATTGACACGCATGCAACAGGATGCAGAGCTGCTATGGTGTCGCAATGCCTGAGCTAAATAACCGTAGAGATTGGGATGTGTATACAGATCAAGAGAAGAGCTGGCGTGTCCTCCTGCGAGCTTCGCACAGTGCTTGATGCAGCACAGCGAATCTCCTGCGTGTCAAGGCCTCTTGGAACCTAAATTGTTTCCAGTATCGACGCAAGATGACCCTGGACCGAGCTACCATCAAATTTTATCACTCAATGTCCGCTTTCTACCTTGAAGTCGCTTTTAACACGTTTTTTGGTCTTTTTCCGCCTCCATCTCTGCTCCTTTATCAACAGCTTCCGGATATCCAGCAACCTGTGGTATATGGCAAATGCGGAACGCCACGTAGAAGGGCTCGATCTGTCCCAAGTCACTCATCATCCTCTTCGGCACCCTCTCCGCGTCTTTGGTACCAGCTCTTAAACCGATATACCGCGTAGGCTACGGCGACCATGCTCCAGAAGACGGCATCGGATGCAGCTTGCCTCGCGATCTCGGATGCAGACATTGACGTAGCCGAATTCCGGGATACCAGAGCGCGTTCATGGTGACTCTTCCAACACTTGCGCATGGCCGCTACTAAGCCTACCAACGCAATCGATATGGCCCAGACACCTCCGAATATAATTGCTGCGCCGTATCCACCCATCATCGCACTGGTGCACGTTGCGAAGACCGAACCTGCAACAACGCTGCCAATACCCGCATGCATGGCCGCGGCTGCGCTGCCTAGAAGAAGTCAGTATTCAATGTTCACGATATACTCTCCGAAATCACATACCTGCGACGATTCCAGCTGGTCCAAAGCCTGTGACCGAGAGCGCTATCGCCGTACATGCAAGTGCAACGAGAGGCACCACGATCAACGCCGTCTTCCACGGATTCATTCTCATCCAGTGGCCGATTGCCCTTGCTGTGCCTATAAATCCAAGCTCCCTCACCTTCGCGATAGCATCGAGTGCAGCGTCTCTAGCTTGCGCGGCCAGAATGGTGGCGTTGTCGGCGGCGCGTCTCCAGAGGATGTTGATGCTAGCAGTCCATGTCGCGCGGAGGTCGCGGTCTTCCGAGGGAGTTCGCAGCGGATCGGCGTTGCCTCTAGCATCTTCCACTGCTGGCACCCGCTCAGTACCTTCATCAACTTCGTCTTCGGAATCTTCGTGCGCTTGTGTCTTCGCGTCCTCCTCTTCATCTTCGTTGGATGCCTCGTACTCAGTCTCTGGCTGATATCGCGGGACAGGTCTCGCTCCTGTAGCGGCGCGTGCAGCTCCCAGGTTCGCGAACAACATTGTCTTCAAGAAAAGTCCCGCCATGTCGTATATGCGGCCAATGGTAATGGACTTGAGGAGATGCGTAGTAATAGGTCACCAGCACTGTCCTTTTTACGACGGCGCTACAACGCGGTGAAAGGGCAAGTCGTTCCACCGTGAGTCCGAATCGGGAAGCAGGCAGCAAATCTTTACATCACTCCTCATATCAACAAACCACGATTAATCGTTGAGCTACAGCCTGCATGTGGTTGCCGCAAATATTTGGGGACAGGAGCGATCTACGGCTGGCCATCTGGCATATACACGTCGATAACATAACTCATAGGTACTTCGCGGATGCCAACCACAATACATCAACTTCGAGCGTAATCGCCATCCCCTTACTCATCCATAGGCAGACGGCCTGTCTCTTCGGCGATGAGCTTGTCAACCTCGTCTTGGATGAAAGCACGATGTATCGCTCTGGCCTCCTCCAACTCGCGCATCAACCTTTCTCGCTCCCACAAAGTCCAAGCCGCCAGATCGGAGCATGTCTTTTCCGCCTTCGCGCGAGCCTTGTTTGCCGTTTCCAGCTCCTGCCTCAATCTTGTATTCTGCTCCAAGATAAGCTCAAACGCCTCCTTGGTGATGCGTTCGCAACCGGGTGCGGGAGTTGAAGAATCTGGTTGGAACATGGAGGGTATAGCAGAGTATTGTGGAACAGGGAAAGTCTCGGCTGTTAAGTATGGATCGTTGCTGGCGCTGCTGATCGAATTCAACCAGTCATTCACCTGATTCACGCCATCCTCGTGATATGCGGGACGAAATGCGAGACTGATGGTGCGCTCGGGATCCTGGAGGCTCGCATGACTGGAGAATGTGGTTTGGTAGTGTTGCTGTTGCTGCTATCTTTTGGTCAGTGTTGTTGTTGTTGTGGTACGACGAGGTGTCAGTGAAAGACTTTCATGGACAGCAGCCTCTTCCCCATCGTCCTCCATCCTATCGGTATCAACACGATTTGGCTCCATGCCTACACATTGGCGTCCTCCAAGATGGTTGCGGTGTCTTTAGGGGCTCGGATAACGCGACTACGTCAGAAAAGGCGCAGTGAAGACGGAGACGCGTCGGTGACTGAGGACTACACTCACGTGCCTGCTGAGTGAGCGCCTGCGCTAGCGTCTACTAGCGCATTTCTCTGTCTATTTCAGCCCCGTCCCCCTCCTCCACCTTTCCTCTCGCTACCTGTGTTGACTTGATTTGACTCTACGCGCAAAGCATCAGCTTACCGCACGAGCGGACGAGGACTGCACGGCCACGGTTCAAGGCAGATTCGAAACCAAGCCCTTAACGATCGGGAACCTAGACGTCGCAAGCCTCCACCCGGTGAGCTGTGGCTATAGGTATCTCCTCTGCAAGTGCGAGGGCATCCCGCCACGAACCAAGAAAGCAAGCCTTTGCACGCAGCGTAGTAGCGAGGGTCTGTTGTTATGTTGTGACGTCAGGCTCATTACATTATGGTTTTTGTATCACGTATAAGCTATGCTTTAATACCGCTAGAGCCAACTGGTGTGGATATGTACTGCGAAGCGCTGGAAGGGGTGACACGACCGACCTTTTCGCATCAGGCAGGTACATGCATTGCAGGACCTAAGCTTCACCCAAGCTATGGCTAGAAACATACTAGAGAGTTAGAGAGACACTGAACCTCATTCTGCAATCTACGCTGATATCCCAGTCGTTTCCTGCATTCTTGACAAACGTACAGGGGCCTACAATGTATTCCGTCTGTGGATATTGGTCATCGTTGCTTGTCGCAGCACCTTCTCGGTCACTGGTCACTCCTTTGATGATAGCTGGTAATCATTACGAGGGAATCTGCAGAGTAGATAGCGATGTCGTTGGGAGGTACTTCACGTAATGTCGGACTCTAGTAATTGTAAGAAAAGGCATCTGCATTGAAATAGCTGCAATTGAAGTAATGTGGGGAGTAAGTCAACGTAAGGAAGTTGGCGGGTATCAAAGACGAACTCAGATTCTCGGTCAAACTAAGGCCATCTCTAAGTGTGTGTGGACGCTAGGAAGAGGATATGAGAGCGCTGTGGATACACATTCTTGTGGATTATGTTGGCACCAATTGTGGCGATATCTATGTGACACCACGCACTGTCTGTCGAGTATAAACTATAACGAAATATCATTTAACATCTCAGAATCACCATTCCAAACCCGACGCGAGTATAGTAAAGTATCAGAAATGGCGAGGCGATGGCGGATGTGTTCAGCATCGATCTGTGTCCAGGGGCGTTCTGGCAATTGGCGTGTGGTCAAGAATTAATACCCTGGATCCCGAAACGCTACACAGCACTGAACAGTTGATCCTTGGTGACAAGTTCGTAGACATAGAAATAATATGATTGCATTACTTAACGGAAGGGGATATCTGAAAAGCATTCCGCAAAAAGTCGTAAATCGTGATAACAGAGGTAGACAAACAGCCGCCCTGCCTTACGGACACCATACTCTCAAAAACATTACTACGCGTGTACGTCCAAAGAAACACCAAAGTGTGACATATTCGTCAATTACCGTGGCCCATACACCGGGTAGGGCGGGTTGGCATACTGCTGTTGCCCGGGCGCCCGCGCATAATCTTGTGGATTGTATGCATATGCCTGTTGGCCCTGCTGGCCGCTTGGCCGCCTCTGGTGAGCGCTGTGCTCTTCCTTTGTCTCTTCCATCGCTGGAAGCTCGGCCGCGAATGCCTTTTGCTCTAGCCCTGGCGACTTCATGCCCTCTGATGGCGCATACGAGCTGGGGCGTGAGCTGGCGGTGCTGTGGGATGCGGTCGACCAGCGCGCATCTTGCGGGTTTGGCGAGTATTGCGATGGCTCGGAGGCGGAGGAGGCGCGGTTATCGTGAGGGGAGAGGTGGGATGGGGAGGGCTGAGGGTGGTAGAAGTCGCCTGGCAACTCCATCACCACGTCGTTGGTGCCCAGGAGCTGCTTTGGTGGGACAGGAGGGCCGGGCTGCTGTGCGGGCTGCGCCCATTGTTGGCTTTGCCTGTGCGGTGACATGGGCATCTGGTAGGGTTGGGTTGGCGATGGTTGTGGTGGCGTGTGGCCGTAAGTCGAGCGATCAGCTGGGTTGACCGTCTTCATGCGCCCGTTCTCCATCATCGCTTGGAGTGCGCCCGAGTCGAGCAGCTCCGCCTTCTTGACTAATCGCTCGATCATGATCGTGCAAGCTGCCTTCATTTCCTTCTTGACAAAGTTCATCATGGCGACGTTGCACTTGATCTCTACATCCTGGCGAATGTAGAGTCCCTCCGGTGGCGCAGACGAGCCCAGCTCTTTCGGCTCAGGTGGCTCGCCAATCTGGTTGCCGCCAATGTGCCACTTCTGGCGCAGGTCGACGTTCGCAGGCGCGTAGGTGTGTGTCTGAAGACCGAACGGCAGGTCGTGGAAGACACCGCGGAACTTGATTGCGCCGCTCCCCATCTTGCCAATGCCGGGTATGTACTGTATGCGCTGCGATATTTCGTACCATGTCGAGTAGTATTCGTCTGCGGGAGCGTCGCGCGGGGCTTTGATGGGCTCGTGGCCGGTGACGAGGGGGTTCAGCTCGATGATCTCGCCGTGGCTGTGGAGGAAGTCGATTGCGAGCTGGCGTGGTATGAACGACGGTATTGGTGTGATTTGCACATACTGCGTCTTCTTGCGCATCATATTCATGGCGGGCGATCAGTGTCGGGTAGGGCCGATGTAAGTGTGAGGTTTCTGCGTCAATTGCTTGAGGATGCGATTTGAGAGAAGAGGCTGCGCCACGACGGCAAAGGTGGGTAGTAATAAGGACGTTGCTGACGGTACCCCTGCTTGTGTAAGTAGGTTTGCAGGCGCTGAGCCGTGGCCGGGTCGTCAGCCCAAGATCGCCGTGACGAAACGCGTCATGCACGTGCATGTGATGTCAGAAACACCCAAGATGCACGAGTAATCTTCTTTTTCTGCTACCCTGCTGCCGTTGATGCGATCAATGACTTGCGAGCGCGGTTTGCTTGACAATGCGGTCTGCTTTCGATCGCTTTCATCATTGCGGCCCTGTAGGGCGGTTGGCGCCCGCTGTGGATCAGCCTAATTATAGGCTTGCAGCTTGGTCGCCGGCAACTGTCAGCTCCATGCAGGTGCTGGTGGGGGCAGGAAATCTGAACTTCATCAGCTTCTCACCGTCGCAAGCCGCACATGGCTTCGAATCACCAAGCCAGAGCTCGACACATGCCGCGACGCCAGTGCTGGTGTCCTTGGTGCCTTTCTTTGCTTTTGCCTAACGCCGGAATCGTGGCCATCCGAAGGCGTAGCGTGACTGCGCCAAGTTGTACTCCTGGGCGGACGCGACGACTGGCATCCAAGTGGCTGAGCCTAGCACGAATTGTCCTATTGTCGTTCCTCTAGTTCGATGCCACGTTCGCAGCGGCGATGGACCTTTCGAAGATGCGATGGGAGAGATTGAGATCCTCGACGTGACGGCATAATCATGTTTCGAAAACAACAAGACCTGAGGCATCAAATCTCCTCGACCCCGCGGAGCCCCTGGATGCCGGCAAGTATGGGAGCGTAGCCAAGGGTTCAACAGTCGCGAGTTGTCGTTCTCGTGAAAGCGCAGCTGGCTCGCATTGATAAAGAGTCAAGAGTGTACTTCCTTTTGACGATCGTAGTAGCTCGTTCGGTGGTACTTGTAGCAGCTAAGAACAGATCCCTTATCGACATGCGACCGAAGGTCGATGAAAGCAGAACGGTGCATGAATGCGACTGGTACCATTCTGCCAGTAAACCAAGGGACCGTGTTCTAGTGCCATTCGAGACGTTCTGAGGTGTCCACTCGAACGATCTGGCTACAAAAAAGAAGATGGAAACAATGCGAGTGGGTGAGAACGAAGATGGAAACAATGCGAGTGGGTGAGAACGAAGATGGTGAGCGTGGGAAGTGAAACATCTCGGAGCGAGTTGCAGAGTTTTGTTCCTGCCTTTGTCGAGACCCTGATGACCCTGACGCTTGTTTGGCTCCAAGGC